GGCCCTCGCCTCTGACTGATTCCTTTCCTGGTCTGGGGTCTGGCGGCCCTCGCCTCTGACTGATTCCTTTCCTGGTCTGGGGTCTGGCAGCCCTCGCCTCTGACTGATTCCTTTCCTGGTCTGGGGTCTGGCGGCCCCGGCGGCCTTGCTCTCTGCTCTCTGCCCTGCATCCAGCACGTGCAGCAAGGATTTGCTGAAGAGAGTGAATCAAAGAAAGGGGCCTTGTTGACGGCAGCCTCCCAGTGCACAGCTCCTGCCCTCGTGGCTCTTGACCTTCGCTGGGGGAGAAAGCACATATAAGAAGCATCCAGTAAGGGAAAACAGGCAACGTTTATCAGTGCCTCCTGAATGTGGACAGCCATGTTCCAACAGCTGTGAGGGGGGCCCGGCTGAATTCGGGAAGGAAGCTACAGTTGCTAAACCTTCCACCCACCAGGCCCTCGGCGGACTATTCACATTTGTTATCTTGTTTTATGTCACTGAATGTTCACACAGTCCTGCAGGACTAAGTCCTGGTGTCTCCACTTTGTAGATGAGGAAGCTGATCTAAGAGACCAGTAACTCGCCCAAAGACATGGGGCTGGGGGCGCCAAGCCATCACTGGAACCCAGAGCTTCCTGTGGCTAGGGCCCGGGCACTTTCCATAAGCCTAAGTAGGAAGGAGTAAGGTCAGGAACAGGACTCCAGGCATGGATGTGAGATGGTGTCAGGGCACAGAGGAAAGTGATTTTATTGACTTATTTATGGTCTTTTAAGTTTTCATTTTGAAATAATTTCAGACTTGCGAAAACAGTACACAGGATCCCCCATATACCTCTCGCCCAGCTCCCCTGAATGTCACGTCTTCCCTAACGACAGGCAGCAAAACCGAGACGTTAACGTCCATATAAACTCTTACCGACTCTCCAGACCTTACTGAAATTTTTCCAGTTGTCCCATTAACATTCCTCTTCTGGTCTAGAATCCAGTCCCGGATATTGATGTTGTTCCAACCAATCCCTTCCTGCTGGGCATATCTGGTGTGCCAGCTCTGTAATTACAAGAACACAGCACACAGAATGGGCAGCCCCTGCCGGCTGGCTGCTTTCCTCCCCGCGGGGACTTTTACACTTCCCGTCTGTCCCGTTCTTGGTGAGCCTTCCCCAGATTCTGGCCCAGCGGGCTCCCTCGCTTCTTGGAAATGTCACCTCCAGAGTGGCCTTCCTTGATGTCACCGTTCTCTGTTCTGTTGCCCAGTTTGGTGTTGTCATCTTGACTTGACAATATGTCTGTTATCCTGCCGGTCCCATTAGCATATAAGCTGCCAGAGGGCAGTGACTCTGCCTTACTCACTCTGCCCAAAGCCGAGCCAGGCCTCACTAAATATTGTTGCATGGGTGAAAGTGGGAAGATCTGCAACAGATTTGAAAATGAAACAGAAAGAGGGCCAGGGTGGCTCAGTCGGTTGGATGTCTGCCTTTGGCTCGGGTCGTGATCCCAGGGTTGGTCCTGGGATCGAGCCCCACATTGGTCTCCCTGCACAAGTGGGGACCTGCTTCTCCCATTCCCACTGCTGCTCGCCCTGGCTGTACGCTCTATCTCTGTGAAATAAATAAAATCTGAAAGAGAGAAAGAAAAGAAAGAAAGAGAGAGAGAGAAAAAGAAAGAAAGAAAAGAAAGAAAGAAAAAGAAAGAAAGAAAGGAAAGAAAGAGAAAGAAAGAAAGACTATGGAAACTGGACATAAAGACACAGAAAGCATGGCAAAACCCTGCCACAGGGTGTCCAAATTCCCCAGGCACACAGGTGCACGGGCACCCGCAACAGAGATGGCAGTGATTAATCTCTAATGCAATCATGGAGACCTGCTCATGTTTGACCAACTTGTTCGTAGACAAATCAGCCACCTCTTCCCAAAGGGGCCTCAAGAGTGGCTGCCCCTGCCCCCTCCACCCCAAGATAGACACAGCAAATCTCCATAGATATTTAGGGTCCATCATCTACCCCCAACCCTGCACCTTGACTCCTCTCAGCCTTTTTTTTTTTAAGATTTTATTTATTTATTTGAGAGAGAGAGAGCGAGCAGGGGGGAGGGGCAGAGGGAGAAGGAGAAGCAGGCTCCACGCTGAGCAGGGAGTCTGACATGGGGCTCAATCCCAGAACTCTGGGATCATGACCTGAGCTGAAGGCGGACGCTTAACCGACTGAACCACCGAGGTGTCCCTTCTCTGTCTCAGTCTTTTTTTTTTTTTTAAGATTTTATTTATTTATTTGAGAGAGAGAGAGAATGAGAGATAGAAAGCACGAGAGGGAAAGAGGGTCAGAGGGAGAAGCAGACTCTCTGCTGAGCAGGAAGCCCGATGTGGGACTCGATCCCGGGACTCCAGGATCATGACCTGAGCCGAAGGCAGTCGCTTAACCAACTGAGCCACCCAGGCGCCCCTCTGTCTCAGTCTTAATCAGCCAGAATCCCTGCCCCTTTTCTGACTGACTTGCTGGATGACCCTAAACATTGACACAGGAGGCTTTTGACACCAGCAGCCCAGCACCCCACCCTGGTCTCATTTTTTCCTTGTGAGAGGCCAAGGTGTGAGACAGCTTGAGGTGGCTCGTCCTGAGCTGGCTGGGCTGCTCACAATATTTGCAGGGCCCGGTGTAAAATGGAATCTGGAGTCTCTTGCTCAAAGAGCAGGAAAAAGGTGCCATGAAAGATACTAAAACATAAGCTTTTCCTTTCTTCTATGATTTCTTTTTTGACTTGTCCTGATGTTTTTATTTATTTATTTTTTTTAAGATTTTGTTTGACAGAGAGAGACAGTGAGAGAGGGAACGCAAGCAGGGGGAGTGGGAGAGGGAGAAGCAGACTTCCCGCGGAGCAGGGAGCCCGATGCGGGGCTCATCCCAGGACCCTGGGATCATGACCTGAGCCGAAGGCAGACGCTTAACGACTGAGCCACCCAGGCGCCCCTGTCCTGATGTTTTTAATTTGCTACTCAACATCAGCATAAGTAAGGAAAAATTAAAAATCTAAATTATCAGCATGAATTTTGCCTTTTGCTTTATTATATACAATCCCAGTTTTTTGTTTTTGTTTTGGGGGGGAGGGTTACAGGTAGGAGGGGGAGAGAATCCCAAGCAGACTCCACACCCAGTGCAGAGCACTATCCCACAACCCTGAGATCAGGACCTGAGCTGAAACCGAGTGGGAGGCTCAACCGACTGAGCCACCCAGGCACCCCTGTACAATCCCAGTTTCAAATGCAAATATAAGGACATTTAAGTCACATATGAAATCACTGAAACTGTAATTTCACATTTCCTAGCTTGTACACAGTATTTTGTTCTTACCCAAGCAGTGGAAATACCGCACAAAACAGAATTACCTGTTTCTATTTTCCCTTTTGGTACACCCACATTCTGCCAGCCCCGTCTGCCTCCGTCCGCCTCCGGCTTACTAATGAGCCAGGGAGGACGGAAGGGACAGGACAGATGGGCTACCCTCTTTCCCTTGCCTCCTGTAGCATTGTTTGCAGCGAAAATGGATCATACAGGGAAGTAACACGAGTAAGGAAGGATGGGGCAGGGGCGCCTGGGTGGCTCAGTCGCTAAGCGTCTGCCTTCGGCTCAGGTCGTGATCCCAGGATCCTGGGATCGAGCCTCACATCGAGCTCCCTGCTCCGCGGGGAAGCCTGCTTCTCCCTCTCCTACGCCCCCTACTTGTGTTCCCTCTCTTGTTATGTCTCTCTTTGTCAAATAAATAAAATCTTTAAAAAAAAGAAAGAAAGGATGGGGCAGGGTTTCTCAGTCATTTGTGTTTCTGAGAACACCTTTATGCATCTGAAGCACGTTCTGGTTTGGACCAAAGGCGTGGCCTCTGTATACATGGATGCATACTCACCTTGTAGCCCCTTTGAGTCTTGAATTCCCACCACGGTGGGGCCACCAGAATCCTGTGCTAGGGGGCACCGTGAACGTGGTAGATGTGGGCGGGGGGGGGGGTCGGCAGCAGGAACCGAGCATGCGCATACTGTGTGGTCTTCGACCCCGGCATGTTCCCTTGTCCTATCAGACTTCACTTCCGGGACACAAATCCAGAGGTAAAATCATTAAGAATTTCAAGACGGCGGCAGTGGAGCGTGGAACCCAGCGTGGGGCCGTGTGTGCCTGCGCCAGTCGCATGCTCGCCCTGCATGCCGCCATCCTGTGTTTGGAGGACTCTTAGTCACAAGACCCCTCTGTGCCTTGTGCCACTTTCTCGCCTTTCCCATTTGTAGCCTGGGATGGCCTGACACGGTGGTGGGAAGAGGGAGTGTGGTCAGGCCATCCCGCCTCACCTCTCCCTACTTCCTCCACCAACCCGCCAACCCGCCAACCCGCGGGACAGAACTTTCTATAGTTTCTCCTAACAAGGCCCTGCTGTCTGCTGCCTCTGGGCCTCGCCTGTTGTTTCCTCTGCCCCAGAGGCTCTCCGAGTTTGGTCCCCGGGCCAGCGGCAACCAGCAGCACCTGGACCTTGTTAGGAATGCAAATTCCCAGGCCCCACCCCAGACCGGCTGAGCTGGCCCCGACAGGGGGATGGGGCAGAGAATCTGGTTCAGCAGCTCCACGGCAGGATGTGATGCGCCACTGCTCTTTGGAACTACGTTTTCCACCTCATTTCAGCTTCCCAACTCCTACACCCTTTTTGTGGAATAAACCCCTCACCCTCTGAGTCCCTTCTGTGAATCCCTCAGCTCACATCTCCCCCGCTGGGCCTGGGGCTTAGGGTATGTCTGTCCCCTTCTCCCTCTTGGCCTGAGGACTGAGCAGGGCAAACAGTAGGCATACAAGTGATGGTAGAGATGCACCGACTCCGGGTGCGGCCAAGGGAGTGGAGATGGGGGACCCCCGGCGTGCGCGGGGGGCGGGGCTGAGCGCGGACCTCCCGCCCTGCAGGTACAGCCTGTACACCCGCACCTGGCTCGGGTACCTCTTCTACCGCCAGCAGCTGCGAAGGGCTCGGAATCGCTACCCCAAAGGCCACTCCAGAACCCAGCCCCGCCTCTTCAACGGTGAGCTCTGGCTGCCCCAGGCCAGCATGGCCCAAAGCTGTGCCCACCCCCCCCCACCCCCGCCTATGCCCCATCATATTACCTCCATCCACCGCTGGGCTCCCTGCCCGGCACCCCGCCCACAGCCCATCTCTGTCCCCCAGGAGTGAAGGTGCTTCCCATCCCCGTCCTGTCAGACAACTACAGCTACCTCATCATCGACACCCAGGCCCGGCTGGCTGTAGCTGTGGACCCCTCAGACCCTCAGGCCGTACAGGTGAGGGGAGGACTGGGTGGGGGACAGGGGTACTTTGGGTCACCGTGGGGACTGGCAGCTTTCCCTCACTGGAGAGGGGCAGTCCCTGATCCCTCCACCAGTGGGATGTGCCCCCCTTGTGCCCTCACACAGAGACCCTGACATGCAAGTACACACAGAGACCCCCCACAACCACAGCAGGGGGTGGGGCCAGTGTCCAGGGCTTGGCGGGGGCTGGGGGGGAGTGCGGACAGCCGTGGGGGAAGCCGAGCCAGAGGGAAAGGGACGCTGACTCAGGACCATGGTCTGAGGTTTCTTCTGTCTTTCACTCTCTGTGGTGCCTCTCTGACCCTCCTACTTCTCTCCTCATCTGTGTCTGTCAGTGTCTGGGTCTCTCCAGCTTTCCTTCCCATTTCTTACTTCTCTGTGTGCGTGTGTATCTGTGTGTTCCCCCAGCCCTCGCATCTCCCTCCACCCACTCCCCATGGCCTCCCCTATGCCCTGGCTCAGCCTCGGCTGCCCCCCTTCTCCCCAGCCTTCTCCTCCCTACCCTCCCATTCTCTAGCTTCATCACCTCCCTGTCCCTCGTCCTCCCTGCCCTTGCCCCTTTGCCCAGCACCTGCACCCCTGTCCCTTGCTGCACACTGCTCCTTAGTCTCAGTACCTCCTCTCTCCCCCAGGCTTCCATTGAAAAGGAGGGCGTTAATTTGGTTGCCATCCTCTGCACCCACAAGCACTGGTAAGGGGCTGGGGTGGGGGGCTGGGTACAGATGATCTTCCCTGGCCAACCCTTGCCCCAGTGGGCTTGGCAGGACTAGGCCCAGTGAGGACAGGCTGGGCTGGGGGGCAGGGAGTCAGGATGCAAGGGCACCCACCTTCTTCATCAAGTTATGGGGGCACCAGCAGAGAAGGAGGGAATGGGTGGGTCTCCCACCGCAGCGCTTATCAGGCTCCTGAAACCCTAGAGGAGGGCAGGGCAGGCATTTATCTTTCATTCCTTGGGCACGTATTAGATGCCCCGTGTGCTCAGGACATGGACAAACCCTGTGAGTTCTTTCCTCAAGGAGATTATAGTCCGGTAGGGGAGACAGCCCTGTGTGACAGTGTACAACAATGACACACTTGTAGGTGGCAGTTGGCACAAAGTACACGAGCTGGGGGCCCTTGGTGAAGTGTGACCAGGTCCACTTGGAGGAATTAGAGGCTGACGACCCTGGAGCTGAGAGAGTCCAGAAAGATTGGTCGGCACTGCCTGGGCAATGGAGGGGAGGGGTGGCAAGTCGTGGGGACGACACTGCGAGCAGGGGAGCAGCTCGAGCAAAGCCTAGAGGTGTGGACAGCTTGGCTCAGTTCAGAAGCCTAGGGCTCAGGGCTCGAAGGCCTGGAGATCTAGAACGAGGAAGGCAAAGAGGCTTCGTACCATTGGCCCTCAGAGTCCCTGCCTGTCTCTGCCATCCTCCAGGGACCACAGTGGAGGAAACCGTGACCTCAGCCGGCGGCACCAGGACTGCCGGGTGTATGGGAGCCCTCGGGACGGCATCCCCTACCTCACCCAGTAAGTCCCTGACCCGGGGGGGGTGGCCCTTCTGTGCCCCCTTTCCCACACCCCAGCCTGCAGTTGACTATTGCAGGACTGCCAGCAGTTGGATCTTTGCTGAAGCCCTTCCTGGCCCTTAGAGGGCAGATCACAGCCCACCCCCCAACTCATCCAGCCATGGTCCCCAAGAGAGGGAGAGGCGAGGGTTTGGATCTGAAGCCCTAGGCACTGTCAGTGCCTTCCCTCTCTGGTGTGGAAGCCCTGCCTCCTTCAAATCACCCAGCTCCTTGGACCTCGGGTAGGGCAAGGATCGGCACGGCCCAAGCTCTAGCACCTTCTCTCCCCTACTGCCTTGCTTCTCAGTCCCCTGTGTCATCAAGATGTGGTTAGCGTGGGACGGCTTCAGATCCAGGCTCTGGCCACGCCTGGCCACACGCAAGGCCATCTGGTCTACCTACTGGATGGGGAGCCCTACAAGGGTCCCTCCTGCCTCTTCTCAGGGGACCTGCTCTTCCTCTCTGGCTGTGGTGAGTTCCTCCCAAAAAGGGAAGCAGGAGTGGGGGGTAGGGGTCAGGGCAGAGACCCAAGGACAGCACAGCCCCATGCAGTACATGAAAACTTTGCTTTCAGTGCAGACACTGCCTTGCTGTTACTCCTGTCCATGTTAGCCCGTTGTTTTGAACAACCTCACGACTCCCCCACAGGGGATGCATAGAATGAGACAATGCTTGTAACTGAGTACAGACCTGGCAGGGCGTTCATTTCCACTGGGTAGAGCCTGCCTAGTTCTCCAGTACCTGGAGAGACTAGGTTACAAAAAGTCGAGAAGCCCCGAATGAGAGAGAGGGTGACCCGTGGGTAGGGGAGGATCACGGTCCCAGGCTGCGCAGAGTCTCAGAGGGCAGCCCAGGCAAAGAAAGAAGTGGAAAAGAGCCACCCCACACCAACTGTGCTTGGGGCCCTGGGCACTCAGCCTGAAGCTTCCATCCTCCTCTCCATCCCCATGTCAGTATGTGCAATGCGGGCCTTCCCGCAGGCTTGGATGGGGAGTGACTATGTGGGTTTGGCAACCAGTGGGGAAGGAGGGCGTAGAGGCCTGGGGGGTGAGTGTGGCAGGGGCCAGGTTGAGGGCTGGTGGCCAGCCCCAGCTATGCACGCTGGTCCCCACCCCCTCCATGTACCTTAGACCGAGCTGTGTTCTTGTACCTTGTAACACACCCACTTCCCCTCACCAGGACGGACCTTTGAGGGCACCGCAGAGACCATGCTGAGCTCCCTGGATACGGTGCTGGGGCTGGGGGATGACACTCTGCTGTGGCCTGGTGAGGTCCCCCTCTCACTCCTCCCTCACTCCCCTAGAGTCCCAGCCGCCCCAGCTGCTGGCCCAGAGGGGACACCACTCCACCTCTGGTGGCTCCTGGAAGCCACCTCTAGCCGTGAGGGCAGAGCCTCTTTCATTCTGGAGTGCTGGCTCTGAATGCCTCTGCTTCTCACGCCAACTGCCCCTGACAGCCAGCCCTCGGCCTCTTGGGAGCCCTGTAGGCCCCGCTGCATCCCAGAGAGATGGCTGATATTTTATAGCCAGAGCCGAGAACAGAAAACAGCCTTTGCTTATCAGAGAAGTCAGTAAATCCGCTCCACACGTATCCACTGCATGCAACCATATCCCACATTGCATGTGCATCCGTCCCCATGCATGTATGTGGCACGTCTGTCCGTCCATCCATCCAGACACTGCATGTCCCTACATACATCCACGAACATTGGATAGCCATAGTTTCTCAAACACATCGCTGAGATGTCAGCTAATCTTCGGAACGTATATTTATCCATCCACTCATTTGACAAATACTTGACTGAACGCCAGATGCATACCAGGCTCTGTCCTAGGCACCGGGAACACATCTGTGTTCTATTAGCATTATTTTTTCCACTTGCCAGATGACAAAACTGCGGCTCAGAGAGGTGCCATGACTTGGCTGAGGTTGCACAGCTGGGCAGGGGCGGAGTCAGGGCTAGGATGCAGGGCTCCCAGCTCCAGGTCTGGCGGTTTTGCCCCTGAACCGCTTTGGCCCCTTCACTCGTGGCTGACCTTTGCCCACATTTAGAGAAGCAGCCAGCCCCCTGTGGTTGGGGCTTTCCCGGCGGTGCCAGCCCTCCCCCTGGTCGTCAGGGGGGAAAGTCCAGAGGGCTTTTTCTGACCACACCACCCCTCTCTCTGTGTCCTGCATCTTGCCGCCCAACCACCCCCCGGTGGTCCTTAGGTCACGAGTACGCAGAAGAGAACCTGGGCTTTGCAGGTGTGGTGGAGCCCGAGAACCTGGCCCGGGAGAGGAAGATGCAGTGGGTCCAGAGGCAGCGAATGGAGCGCAAGAGCACGGTGCGGGGCAGGGCCTGGGGTCGAGGCCGGGGCGGGGCGGGGGGGGTTGCCCAGGGCACTCCCCAGCAGGAGACCCTCCATGCTGAGCTGCGGCCTGCAGACCCGTCCCTAGAGCCCCGACATGTTTGGTACACAGGCCTTCAAGAGAGGCCCCCTGGCCCCTGAGATGGGAGGGGCCAGGGAGGCTTCCAGACTCTCTCCGCCAAATGCCAAACCGGTGCCGCTCGTCCCACAGTGCCCGTCCACCCTGGGAGAAGAGCGCTCCTACAACCCCTTCCTGAGGACGCACTGCCTGGTGCTGCAGGAGGCTCTGGGGCCAGGCCCGGGCCCCACGGGGGACGATGGCTGCTCCCGGGCCCAGCTCCTGGAGAAGCTCCGCCAGCTGAAGGACCTGCACAAGAGCAAGTGACAGCCCCCAGCCCACCACAGCCTGCCCCCCACGGCGGGGAGGCCCCCCCCATCGCCCACACCACACCGTCCCCCTCATTTGCTGCCACCACCACCTCATCGGCACCCCCAGTGGGCCTCAGGCCCCAGCACTGTCGGGGAGAGGAGGGACAGGGGGCGAGGCCATGAGACCGAGAGGACGGAGGCTGGTCGAAGGCTCGGAGACCCCACGGGGCGGGTGGGGGGGGAGGCTGAGTCATCCAGGGCGAGAGGAAACGGGGGGAGCCTTGGGACATCTCCAGACCCAGCTGGGAGGGTGCCTCCTCCCTGGCTCCACTCCTGCCCCTGGTGAGGACGCAGAGAGTGCTGGTCGGCGCTCCCTCAGGAGGCCTCACCCGCTGTAGCCCCTGAGCCCAGGCCAGCGGGAGTTGTGAGCGGGTTCAGACCTCTCCCCGCTTCTCCCTTCCAGGCTTGGGAAAGACACGCAGGCCCCCCAGAGTGGCCTGAGGTGTGGTGCCTTGGAAAAGCAGTCACTCAGAGGGGCAGCTGGGCTCCGGTGTCCAGAGACACTGGCCCTCCTCCCCAAGCCTCCCCCCTGTGTCCCCCCCACCACCATGAATGCATTTTTTAAACAGAGCCATTTCTGGGAAAGATGAAAGGGCTGGACATCCGTGTGTCTGGACAATCTCGGCCTCAGTGACTCCCCTGCAGCCTGGAAGAGGGAGGGTCCTGGTTGCCACAGAAACCACGCCCTCAGGCTGAGGAGACCCCGGGAGCTGGGACTGCAGCCCCACAGGTGGGGCCCAAAGGACCCCCCTTCCCAGAGGGCAGAGAGCCATCCTCCGCCCCAGCTGCAGCAGTTTTCTCCTGATGGCTCTTGTTCTTAGGAACTTCTGCCTTGTTCTAACTCCTGTTTTACCCTCAGGCCCTCTCCTCTTTTAGTTATGAAGCCATTCCTCTGGCCCTCTGCGGTTTGCCACGAACATCCCCATGTCATTTCTCATTCGATCCTTGGTCCCATCCTGGCTGGGGAAAGGGGTCTACGCAGCAGAGTGCAGAAATTGGAAGTCTGGGAGCAGAGAGCGGTCAGCTCTTGAGTGAGTGGTGGCCTCCAGGACCCCAGATCTGAAACCCAGCTCAGCCTCTCCTCTGGTCTCTGGCCGACGTCCCTTCGGGGCCACAGAGAGGATCCCTAAGGTCCTCGAGCAAGCATACCTTGGGTCAGCTGGGAGCCTTCTCTTCCTGTGTTCAAGCTTTCCCTCGGGCTCTGCTCGCCTCTGGTGAGCCTCTGAGATGCCCCCTACCCTCAGTTTCCCCTCATCATCCCGCCTCTGCCTCTGTCCCCATCCATAGCCTCTGGTACCAACTCTAGCAATACCACCAGAATAGAGTTCCCCGCCCCCCTGAGACATGCAGTTCCATGCCACTGTGCCTTTGCTCATGCTGTTCCTTCAGACTGGAATGCCTTTCCCCCGCTCTTCCGGCCTTGTCTGCCTGGCAAACACCCGCTCATCTCTCACAACCCCCCTCAAAGGCCCCCTCATCCAGGAAGACAACCCCCATGCCCCTCACCCTCCAGGCTACCTCTGCTCTTTGTAAATGCTTCTCCCTCATGGCACTTCTCACACTGTGTTTTACTTGTTTACATGTTTGTCTCCCCTTCTAGACTGTGAACCCTTCAGGGCATGGACTATATCTTATGCATCTCTGTAATTCTGCGCCCAGCACGGTGCCTGGCACACAGGAGGCGCTCAATAAATCTTGAATGAATGAATAATTTAACTGGGGCTTGATCACTCAGTGAGATCATCTTTATTGGTGGTTCCGTTTTCCTGAGTTACTAGTCTGCTAACTTGGAGCTACTGCACTCCAAGAGCCTTGGCCCGGAAACAGTGCTATAAATACAACTTCCCATGGCCTGTGTGTACTTGTTCAGAGTTAAAACGTGCTTACCTCAGTGTTTTCCAGAGCTTGGGAGGCACAGGTGCACCACTGGCCGCAGGGGAGAGGAATAGCACTGAGGGGCAAGGCCCTGGCACTAGCCTCTCCTCAACGCATCTCTTTAACAGAGCCAGACTCTGGGTCCATACCTTAGTCGGTCAACTATCTTGAGTTTAACACTGTGGTTTTGTTTTCATTGTATCTACCTTTGAGGTCAATATTTTTTTTTATTTATTTTAGAGAGAGCACACAGATACATGTGGAGGGGCAGAGGGGGAGGGAAAGGGACAAGCAGACTCCCTGTTGAGTGTGGAGCCTGACTTGGGGCTTGATCCCACCACCCTGAGATCGTGACCTGAACCGACACTCAACCGCCTGAGTCACCCAGATGCCCCTGGGGTCAGTATTTTTGACAAGTGATGGCAGTTTTCTTTTTTTCTTTTGTTTCCACAAAGTGATAGCAGTTTTCAATTCATGAAAGTAATTACAGATATTTATTGAAATAGGGATGAAGCAAAGGTGGCCCTGGGCCATGGCAGAACTCCTTTTTTTTTTTTAAGATTATTTATTTGAGAGAAAGCGTGAGTGATGGGGGGGGCGGTGTGCAGAGGGAAAGGGAGAGAGAGAGAGAATCTCAAGCAGACTCCCCACTGAGCACAGAGTCCAACCCGGGGCTTGATCCCACGACCCTGAGATCACGACCTGAGCCAAACTCAAGAGCCAGGTGCTCAACTGACTGAGCCACCCAGGCAATCCCACAGCAGAACTCTTAAAGGTGGCCTTGATATGGCTGAAGACTGGGCAGCACTGGCCTAATTCCACATTTCCTTGGGGCCAGACCAAGGCATAGTTTTCCCACCCCTGGGCACAATTCAGCCTACCCTCTTAGGCGCCCCTCACCCCAAGCAAGGAACCTTGGCACTGGCCCCCGCTATCGTGGATCAGGGCTATACTTAGGGTGGGCATGGAGGAAGGGGCCATGGTCCTCACTTTCCAGAAGAAGGGCAGCTCTGTGTGCTCTGTGGTTGTCTCTGGGTCACTCCTATCTTGAATGGGCAAGCCCCAGGGCCAGGTCTCTTTGGGTATGCCCAGCTACAAGGGGCATTTGGTGATGGTTCTCTAGGGTTAGTGAAGAATTTTCCTAGAGCCTCAGGTGATCAGCCCACTGGGACATCATCGTGAATGACGGCCCATGCTTTCTGTGGTGCTGGCACCGACCAGCAATAACCAGGCTACCTGCCCTTTGCTTACAAGACAGCAGGTGTCACTGGCCTCAGAGACTTCGGTTCCATTCCCAGCTCTGTCGTGCAATATCCAAGTGACCTTGGGCAAATTTCACTTCCCTGACCTGTTTCTTTACCTTCCGTGGAGATGACAACCTTGAATGAGTCAAAACACTTTCAGGTACAAGTGACATACTCAACACTAAGGAACTTAAACCAAGAGGAAAACTTATCGGCTGGTGAAATTAAGAAGTGGGAGATTATGTCCTGGTGACTGCAGGCATCGCCGGATCCACAGATTCAAAGGGCCATTTTATCATTCAGCTCAGCTTTCTTCTGCATTGGTATCATTCTCTGTCAGGCTTTCTCCCTGCAGTGGAAAGATCATGTCTGTAAGTTCTAGACTTACAGGCTACTAGTTGGTTCATCAAACCTAGCAGGACCTCCAATAGTCGCAAGGGTTGAGTTTCATTGGTTCAGCTTGGGTCATGTGCCCAATCCTGAGCCAATCAGGAGTTAGGGGAATGGGCCCCTTCTCACCAGCCAGGTTAGGTCACATGACTACACTTGGAAGGGCAGTGTCAGACCCAACTGAAAGGTGCGCTGAGGCTGTGGAAAACGTCCCCCAGACTAATAGGGGGTCTGATACCAGAAATGATGCAAGGCCTAAAATCACTGACGTTCACCAACAATTCCACTTATTAGAGGCTATTGGGAGAGTCTGATGAGCAAGGGCATATGAAGTCACTTGCTACATCAGATTCCTGGTGCTATAACTCATTATATAGAAGAAATGGTGGTAGACAGGTGGCCCCAAAGGTATTTGAATAATACCTAGTTTTAAAAATAACCAGCAAGCAGTTCATTTTTTCCTGAATCACAGACTGTCTCTACGGGCAGGAAAGGAGAAAGGGAGGACACTAAGTGGGCAGCCTCAAGCGTTCCAGGGAGGAACAAAGACCGGGGGAGCTGTCATGTGATCTCGAGGAACCCTGTGCCTTCCTATGTGTGGGGAGGTGGACTTAGATCTCCAAGGCCCTGGCCATACACGGAGACTTTGAAAGTGGGTGGGAACCTAACCTAGGTGGTCAGTAAACCCTAGGCAATTACACTTACTGAGTTCCTAACTATAGGCAAAGCCCCACAAAAGATGCAGAGAAAGACATCTGTCTTAGGGTTCTTCAGAGGAACAGAACCAATAGAAAAGGAGTTGATAGATGATAGATGATGATGGATGGATGGATGGATAGATGATAGATAGGTGATAGATGATAGATAATAGTTTGATAATAAGACGGGACAGGGTGGCAGAAAGAGGACTTGGAGAGGGACGGGTCTGGATAGGAATATAGGTTCTGCCTCTGGTTGACCGTGGGTGACGCCAGTCAGGCATCTCATGTCACCGAGCCCTGTTCTAGAGCAACTGGGAGAACTAAGTGAAATGCACAGTGGTGTTCAGTGAACAGCCACCTCTCTCCTCTTACTGTTACTAATGAACGAGGGCCAGTCCCTCAGGTACAGTAGGACAAACTGATTAAGAACATGGACTCTGGAGACAGCTCATCTGGGACCTTCCATTTTTTTTAAGATTTTATTTATTTATTCGAAAGAGAGAGAGCACGAGCCGGGGGGAGCAGCAGAGGGAGAGGGAGAAGCAGGCTTCCCGCTGAGCAGGGAGCCCAACATAGGGGCTCGATCCCAGGACTCTGGGATCGTGAACTGAGCCAAAGGCAGATGCTTAACTGACCCACCCAGGTGCCCCCACGCTTTCCATTTATTAACCAGGTGACCTTGGGCAAGTTACTTAACCTTTCTGTGCCTCCGTCTCTCTTGCGTCCACTGAGGGCATGGCTTGCACCACCGTGGAAGCTGATTGTGACGATTGAGTGAGTTCATACCTGCCGAGCTGGGCACATCGTGAGCCCTCTCCACGTTAGTGGCTGTGGTTCTGTAGGTGCTGATCCCAGGGGCTGGGAGGACACTGGCTGTGCCTGTCAAGGTTCAGAGAGGCCAACCTGCCCAACATGACTGCACAGCTAGTAGGTCAACCTGCTACAGAGCTTCCCTCCCCTGGCCTAGCAGGCTCTAAGAGGGGACGGTAACAAGGGTCTGTAGCAGATCTCTTATAGAGATTTAAAAATTGGACTAACAAACTGGATGTCGATCCTTCTGTGAACTACTTTGTCATGTTTCTTTCTCTCCTAGCAGGAAACAGCCAGCATGAACGGGAAGGGGTCTTGGCGGGGCGGGGGGGGGAGCTGGATGAGAAAGAAGCTGGACTCTCAGGAATGGGAGCCTGTGTGGACATGCGGGTGGGAGTCCTGTGCAGCTCCAGGGGCCTCACCAAGGAGAGGGGAGGAGGGAGGGGGAAACTCTAAAGGGTAAAGGGCTCTGGGAGCAAATCCACCCTCAAGCCAGGAGGGGGGTGCATAGTAGGGAGGGAACCACGTGGGCACCCCTTAAAGAGCATCTAGGCCATAATTTGCTTCTTTTTTTTTCCAACTTTGTCCTAATAATCAAAAATGTTTTTTCCAACTTTATGTAATTTACATACAAAAGCAATAGGGGTTGCTTTTTATAGATCTTATTTAAATCTATCTTTTATTAACAACTTTATTGAGATGTCATTTACATAACACAAAATTCATCCTTTTAAAGTGTACAACTCAGTGGTTTTGAGTATATGCACTATTTTGTGACCATCACAATCTAATTTTATTTTTTTAAAAGATTTATTTATTGGAGCGCTTGGGTGGCTCAGTTGTTAAGCATCTGCCTTCGGCTCAGGTCATGATCCCAGGGTCCTGGGATCGAGCCCCACATTGGGCTCCCTGCTCCGTGGGAAGCCTGCTTTTCCCTCTCCCACTCCCCCTGCTGTGTTCCCTATCTCGCTGTGTCTCCCTCTGTCAAATAAATAAATAAAATCTTTAAAATAAATAAAAGATTTATTGATTTGAGAGAGAGAGAGATAAAGCATGTGTTCGGGGGTGGGGGGAGGGGCGGGGGGGAGAGAGAGAGAGAAAAACCCAGACTCTGTGCTGATTGAGGAGCCCCATGTGGGGCTCGATTCCATGATCCTGAGATCACGACCTGAGCCAAGAGTCAATAGCTTAATCTGCACCACCCAGGGGCCCCACAATCTAACTTTAGAACATTTTCAATCATCCCCAAAAGAAAGCCAGTGCCCATTTGATGTCACTCTGTGCCTCTGCATACCCACACCAGGCAACCACTGATCTGCTTTCTGTCCCCACAGGTTTACGCAAATCACATATGTGACATCAGACAATACGTGGTCTTCTGTGACCAGCTCCTCCCACTAGGCCTGTTCTCAAGTCTCATGTTCTGGCATCTGTCAGTACTTTACTCTTCTTACGGTTGAATAATATTGCATTGTGTGTATATACATCACATTTTGTTTATCCGTTAGTTGACAGACATATGGGTTCTTTCCACTTTCTGGCTATCATGAATAATGATGCTATGGTGCTATGAACATCTGTGTACAGGTTTTTGTGCAGACAGATGTTTTCAGTTCTCTTGGGTATAGACCTAGGAGTGGAATTGCTGAGTCATATAGTAACTCCACATTTAACTTTTTGAGGAACTAACAAACTACCTCCTAAAGTAATGAGTTTTCTTAATGCCATTGACAGTCTCTCACGTGCAGAGAAAGGCTTCTTCAGAATTCACTTTGGCTTTTAAAAATTAATACTCAAAATAAAATTTAAAAAGTAAATAAAATTAGGGGGCACCTGGCTAGCTCAATCCATAGGGCATGCGACTCTTGATCTTGAGGTCATGAGTTCAAGCCCCACAGTGGGCATAGAGCGTACTAAAAAAATAGTAATAATAAATAAAATTTTAAAAACTAATACTCGGTTTCTTAAATTGCAAATTTTAAAACACAAACATTTTTTAAACTTTTAAGTTCAACTTATCAGTCATATTTTAACCATAAATCCAGTAAATGTTAATAATAACTTTTAAGGAGGCTTTGATTAATAATTGGTCCTCTTTTCAAAATTGCAACTGCTCTAGGCAGTTTATGTTGTATTTATTCATCCCAGATCTTCTACCTCCTTTTTAAAAGGAATTGATTGTTATATGTCAATTATATCTCATAAAGCTGGAAAAAAGTAAAGCAAAATAAAAATAATTCAATTATCTTAAAAAAAAAAAAGAAACCGGCCTCCCAAGTACTTTACTGCAATCTACTAAAAGTAAACATATAAGTACAGCAAATTTGGGGGCACCTGGGTGGCTCGGTTGAGTGTCCAACTCGTGATATCTGCTCAGGTCTTAATCGCGTTGGGCTCCATGCTGGGTGTGGAGCCTACTTATAAATAAATAAATAAATAAATAAATAAATAAATAAATAAATAAAGCAAATTTCAAGGTTTTTATTTTATTTTATTTTTTTAATTTTAAGATTTAAAAAAAATGTTCTGGGGGGGGCGCCTGGATGGCTCAGTCGTTAAGCGTCTGCCTTCCGCTCAGGTCATGATCCCAGGGTCCTGGGATCGAGCCCCGCTTCGGGCTCCCTGCTCCGCGGGGAGTCTGCTTCTCCCTCTCCCACTCCCCCTGCTTGTGTTCCCTCTCTTGCTGTCTCTCTCTCTGTCAAATAAATAAATAAAATCTTTAAAAATAATAAATAAATAAAAAATAAAAAAATAAAAAAAAGTTTTGGTTCTACTTACAATTCCAGTAAGCATTTAACTTCAGAGTTCAGTTTAAATCAATTATTCAACCGCCCAATTTATTAATTTTTAAAGATTCTGTTTTACTTATTTGTATTTTTAAGTAATCTCTATATCCAACATGGGGCTGGAACCCACAAGCACCAAGATCAAGAGTCCCACCCTCTTATGACTGAGCCAGCCAGGTGCCATTCAACTGCCTGATGTAAATTAGAATCTCAAGACTTCTCTTTTTTTATTTTTATTTTTTTTTTAAGATTTTTTTTATTTACTCATTTGGGAGAGAGAGAGAGCGAGACTATGAGCCCGGGGTGGGGGGGAGGGTGCTCAGAGGGAGAGGGAGAAGCCGGCTCCCCGCTGAGCAGGGAGCCCAAATGTGCAGCTCCATCCCAGGACCCTGGGATCATGACCTGAGCTGAAGTCAGATGCTTAACTGCCTGAGCCACCCAAGTGCCCCTCAAGAATTATCTTTTAAGCACGCTTCCATGCCAAATTATTTTAAAGACCTTGAAATACCAAATATGCACAATATGACACACACAAAAATTAATATTTTTAGTTCGATCGTCTCAAGCAATTCTACACATAATTCTAAATCTTCCCAAAGTTGATAGATAATTACCTAATGAGAAGACATTGGAAGATTACCTTCCTGAGGGCTATGGTGGGGGCAAGGGGGGCAGCTCCTTCAGTGATTGAAGTTTTTGGACAAGAGTTTTCTTTTTTTGTGACTCTGTCGGGCTGAGTCCCTTTTAATAGCCGCTATGATGCAGACTTGAAAACTTACAAGGTGGGGTTTGAGTCCTATCATAATTCAGTTTTCGTCTTTGGCACCGATCACTACCCATGCTGTGGAGCTGCTTGTTTGGATTCAATGTATTGTCTATTTGCTGCTTCATTTTTCTTTGAATTATCTCTAGGAGCCAGACTGGCTTGAGTTGAGTCCTGGCTCTGCCAATTACAGTTGCCCCTTGAACAACATGGGGGTTAGGCATGCCAACACTCCCCCCTTTCAGACATGGTTGAAAATCTGGGCATAGGGGCACCTGGCTGTTTCAGTGGGAGGAGCATGTGACTCTTGATCTTGGGATTGTGAGTTAGACCCCCGCATTGGGTTAGACATTACTTAAATAAATAAACTTAAAAAATAAAACTGAACATTGTGTTTTAAAAAAAAGAAAAAAATTTTTAAAAAAGAAAGAAAAGCCGGGTATAACTTTGACTCCCCCCAAATTTAACTACTAATAGCCTACTATTGACCCAAAGTCTTACAGATAACATAAAACAGTTGATTAACACGTGTTTTGTATATTCTATTATTATATATGGTGTTCTACCAATAAAGTAAGAGAGAGAAAATGTTATTAAGTCATAAGGAAGAGGGTTGCCTGAGTGGCTCAGTCAGTTAAGCATCGGACTCTTGATTTCGGCTCAGGTCATGATCTCAGGGTCGTGGGATCGAGCCCTGTGTCTGCTTGAGATTCTCTCTCTCCCTCTCCCCCTGCCCCTCCCCCCTCTCTAAATAAATAAATAAAATCCTTAAAAAAAAGAAATCATAAGGAAGAGAAAACACATTTACAGTACTGTACCATATTTACTGAAAAACATCCGCATATAAGTGCACCCAGGCAGCCCAAACCCATGCTGTTCAAGGGTCAACTGTATCAGCTTTGTGACCCTGGGAAGACATTTAACCTCTTGGTGCCTCAGGTTTCTCAGCCATAAAGTACAGGGAAAAAAGGGACCTGCTCGCAGGGTTGGTTTGAATACTGAATGAGATCACGTGTGTGCATCCCTCCAGGACAGTGCGGGGCCTACGGTAAGCATGGCTTCAGGGTTTGCTGGGATTGTCATTGTTACCAGCATCACTCTCACATGTGGTCCTATACACGTGGCTCTCAGTGGGTTCTACCCATGTGAGGCCACGTCTGACTCAGGGCCATAACTTTCTCACTTTTTTTTTAAGTTTATTATTATTATTATTATTATTATTATTATTTAGTAATCTCTACACCCAACATGGGGATCGAACTCATGATTCCGAGATCAAGAGTCACATGCTCCTCTGACTGAGCCAGCCAGGCGCTCCCTAAGGTCATTCTAATGACCCATGTCATCCCCCTGCCATGTCAAATGTTCCCGCTGCAGGACAATACTTCAGGCATGGCCTGAGCTCCAAAGCCCACAGTTCCTACCATTGCCTCCAAGGTCTGGGTGTTTTGTGAGGTGTGTTGATGGCCCTTTAAGAGGCGGTAGCTGGCTTCCGGTTGCCATGGAGACAGCTGGACACAGCCGGGGTAGCAGAAGGCAGGCAGCATGTCCTCCAAACTTCAATCCACAGGTGGGAACAGGGCTGCTGGGACTGGACATTGGAGAGGCATCTTCCCCTCTTCTCCCTCACAATCCTCCTTGGGATGGCCTTGGGGCATTCTGCTTTGGGCAACACCTGTCCCACCCCTGTCTCTCTCCCCAAGGCTGCCATCTCAGCCTCTCCTCCCTCTCTAGGCTCCAAAGCCAAGGACCACCAGCCCTCAGCCCAAGAGAGTCTGCCAGCCCCAAAGGCCAATGCTGAAGCCATCCACTTCCTCAGCAACCTCAGTGAGCCTGGACAGTGGGGGCGTGGGGGGCACAGATGTGAAGGGGAGGGAAGAGAGAAGGCCCAGACCTGGCCCCCTCTCTCTCAGCCTTGATTCCCCTGGGATGCAGACAGGGTTCGAAGCCTACCGAAATATATATAGATACATATATATATTTTTAATACAGAAAGGTTTTTGTTTTTTGTGTATTTTTTTAAGGTTTTATGTATTTATTTGCGAGAGAGAGAGAGAAATAATGAGAGATAGCATGAGCAGAGGGGAGAGGGGGAAGCAGACCCCTCGCTGAGCAAGGAGCCTGACATGGGCTTGATCCCAGGACCCTGAGATCATGACCTGAGCCAAAGGCAGATGCTTAACCGTCTGAGCCACCCAGGCGCCCTGATAATTGTTTTTACTTTTTATTTATGTATTTATTTATTTTTGATAATTGCTTTTTTTTTTTTAAAGATTTTATTTATTTATTTGACAGAGGGAGACACAGCGAGAGACGGAACACAAGCAGGGGAGTGGGAGAGGGAGAAGCAGGCTTCCCGCGGAGCAGGGAGCCCAATGCGGGGCTCAATCCCAGGACCCTGGGATCATGACCTGAACTGAAGGCAGATGCTTAACGACTGAGCCACCCAGGCGCCCCTGATAATCGTTTTTAAAGATTTATTTATTTGGGGCACCTGGGTGGCTCAGTCAGTTAAGCGTCTGACTCTTGGTTTTGGTTCAGGTTATGATCTCAGAGTCCTGAGATTGATCCCCATGTAGGGCTCCCTGCTCAGCAGGGAGTCTGCTTGAGATTCTCTCTCCCTCTCCTTCTGCCCCTCCCCTCCCCCTGCTCACGTGCTCGCGCTCTCTCTCTCTCTAAAATAATAAATAAACGAATCTTTAAAAAAATAAATAAAAAATAAAAGATTTATTTATTTATTTGAGAGAGAGCACAGAGGGAGAAGCAGATCCCCACTAAGCAGAGAGCCCCGTGCGGGACACGATCCCAGGACCCTGTGATCAAGACCTGAACCGAAGGCAGACGCTTAACTGACTGAGCCACCCAGGCGCCCCTATTTGTTGATAATTGTCAAGAGAAGACCCCAAGGACATGGGGACTGGGGGTGGTGGCGGGGTCTTCACCTGCTGGCTGTTGTACAGGCCAAGGGAAGGGAGCCAGCAGCTGCCTGGGACCTGGGGGATGAAGAAGGGGTGGGGGCGGCCCTGCTCGGGGAGGGTCGGAGAGCTGAGGCCCAGGAGCTGGGGCTTTATCTGTGCCCATGGGACCCCCACCCCCACCCCCAGAGCAGGAGGAGCTGCAGATGCTGCTATTCTCCGAGACTCTGGCCATGGTCTCAGACACGGGGGAGCCTCAGGGAGAGCTGATCATTGAGGTGCAGGCAGGGAAATACACAGACGAATCTGGTGTGATGTCGCACTGCCTCCTCGTGCACGCCTTTAGCCGCAGCTTCATGGACAAAATGCTCTGTGGAAACTCCCTCCTGGGTAGAGTTCTTGCTGCCTGATGCTTCACCTCCACCCTTCCTCCCCTCCATCCCATCCCCATTCCTAGGACTTTCACTCAAGACCATCCCTTGACTTCACCTTGGGACCAGAAGGCAGCCAGGAGGGTGTGTGGGAGGTGGGGGTGACAGGGATGTTAATCACAGCCACAGACTTAACGACAAGAGCACCACTTAGTTTTCCCTGCGGTCACAGTCCCCCTGAGTCCTCCAGCCTGGACCCTGCCCTCCCACCCTGCAGTCTTCCGGCCTGTCTCCGGTGACGGGGTGATGGGGACAGCAGTGTTCTCCTCCTGCCCCAGGCTACCTCTCATGGAACCTGCATATCATGGAGCAACGTAGTCAGGAGTTCATCAAGGTACCTCCTGGGGCCCCCAGCCTGGACCCCAAACCAGGGTGAGAGAGTGAAGACCCTGGGAGGGAGGGAGGGAGGGAAGAATGGAGGGGCTCAGTGGAATGTCACCCCCAACTCTCTCCAAGTTACCCTGCAGTCCCCACCACGCATAACCGGGAAACCAATCCATCCAGGGCAGCAGGTTGCTTCTCCTGACCTTCTCCTAATACACGATCCCTGGGTCCAGTCCACCCAGGGCCTCCTCCAGGCTGAGAGCCCAGCATCTCCCAGAGGGCCATGCAGGCCAGCCTTTCCCAGAGCCTGGTCTTTCCCAAGGGCCTGTCACCCCCTCACCTCCAAATTCTCCTGCTCTGTGCCTCCCACACCCAGCCCCAGCCACCTCACTAACTTCTGGAACGTGATCAGCGTTACACATTGGAAAGCACTCATGCCTAAGAACCTTCCCACAGAAACCATTCCCATCTTTTAAAACCTGTATTTTGAGGGGCATTTGCTTTTTACCTTTATATTACACCATAATACGCCTTCTGTTCTTGAACTTCACTACAAAGGGAAGATTTTCTATCCAAACTTCCCTCAGTTTTCTCATTTCTAAAGGAGAAGGGGCAAGGTGACCTGTGGGGGGTGCTGTTCAAGCTCCCGCTTCTCCCCTCCGTGCTCTGGCCCTTAGTTCCGCGTCCTCCCCATGGAGCGGAAGATGAGTTTGGTGAAGCAGGACGACCAGCTGGCCATGACCAGAAGGGTCAAGGAGGGTGAGGTAAGGGTGAGAGACAGGTAGGGGCCGTGCCCCGCATCCTCTCCGAAGGCAAGAGCAGGGGCCAGATTGTGTCAGGCCGGGAGCCTGGCATGGGGACTCAGCAAGGACCCTATATGTGCCCAATACCTGGCTTCCCTGTCCTCCCTCCCCACCCCTTCCCAGATCGATGTCCCTGACCCAGATTCTTCCCGAACAGGAAGTCAAGACCGAAGTGACTTTTGTCCCGGGGAGCTCAACCATGGGCTTCATCTCCGAGGCTGCCAACCTGGTGTTGCTGAGGGTGATGGCCTGGCGGCAGACCGTGCCCAGCAGCGCCCGTTTCCTGGCCTTGGACACGGAGGGCAAATTCTGCTACTCCACTTACGTGAGGGCTCTCCTTGGGTGGGGGACTTGGCCTGGGGAAAAACAGAAGGGGCACTACGGAGGCCGCTGAGGTGGGAGAAAAGACAGCTTCGGGGTGGAAGAGGGGGTGGGCTGGGGCCCCGGGGGTGGGACTTCCAAGGGCAGGAGAAGGCAAGACTTCATGTGTTGGAAGATCACGTGGGGGGCAGGTGGTGGGAAAAAGAGGAACGAAAGCGGGGAGCAGTTGAGAAGCAATGTTTTTTGCCCAGACATCAGTCCAGGAAAAATAAACATAGTGGAGGGCTGCTTTTAAAGGCAGATTTTTTTTTTTTAAAGATTTTATTTATTTGACAGAGAGAGCACAAGCAGAGGGAGAGAGAGGGAGAAGCAGGCTCCCTGCTGAGCAAGGAGCCCGATGTGGGACTCGATCCCAGGACCCTGGGATCATGACCCGGGCCGAAGGCAGCCGCTTAACCAACTGAGCCACCCAGGCGTCCCATAAAGACAGATTTTTTTAACATCAGGAAATGCACCATTTCCAATGGCACTTTTATTATGTTCTTTTATTATGTCTCAGACCTGAAAGGTGTTCCTTTTTTTTTGTTTTTTTTTTTTACTTGTGGCTAAAACTTCATAATCAACATACCTAGGACTTCCTGTGATGTGAGATTTTAAAGCTATGCCTCTGAACACACATTTTGGGGGCTGATTTGACCAACTTTGTAAATGACATTCTAGTCTTTTCTATCACAAACATGACAAACGGCAATGTGTTTGACACAAACAGACCCATGTCACTTCCCCCATCTTCTTTTGAAACACATATCTTATATTCGTGCTTTTCTGCCTGTGGCCACAGCTGCTCTAGGGGTTTAAGTTCTAACGACAACAGGGCAGCCTGCCTGCAGCAGCAGGGGCCTGACGCGGCCACAGATGGCAATCTAGCCCCCTCCTCAGAGCATCTCTGCCCCCCCCACGCTCCCTGCCCCCCAGGCTCACACCTTGGTTGATCCTCATCCCTGTAACTCAATCTGCCAACCAGAAGCACTTGGTCATCAAGATGATGAGGGGAGTTGGGGCACGAGCAGCATGGACCTGGATTTCTATGAGGGGACCCCCACTTAACTTGGGGGTGCAACTCAAATCCTGTGGCGGCTGAGGGCCTGGACAGCTGAAGGTTGCTTATCACTGATAAAGAATGAAGCGGCAAGATGGAGAAAAGGGCCAGGGTGAGATTTGGGGGAGATCCTGGTGGGCATCCACCTCACCTCCCTCCCTCTATCTTGGCCGCTACCAGCAAGATCTGGGCTTCCAGAAGATCCAGGTGGGCCGCCAGCAGGTGGAAGTGTTCATCGTGGAGCAGACTGTCCACTCAGTTAAAGGCATCCCCAATTCCTGCCAGTTCTACCTGCTCTCGGATGGGTGAGCTACTGACAGTGGGCGCTAGGGGGCAGTGTGGAACACAAGCCTGGGTGCTGGATCCTGGGGTCGGACATGGGGCAAAGGGAGACTACTGTCTCTGGGGACACCACCAGGAAGCGTGCCCCCTTGCTTGATCCACATCCACTCTTTCTTCACATATTTATTCCTGATTCATACCATGCCCAATCCGGGCCCAATGCATTCACCTGATGCGTACCGTAACTCCCAGACCTCATCAAGGAGCCCTGAATGGCTCAGAAAGTCAATGCTGACCCCACAAGCCTAAGGCACAGTAGCTAAGCATCTGCCACAGCTGGGTATAATACCAAAAAGCACCGAGGTTTGAACAACTTGACACTTGATAGAATCAATGTGCATGGGGGGGGACATCCTGGCACATGGCCAAGCTGTCACCAGTGGGACACAGGCCCCAAAACATGAGAAAATTGGGGAGGAAGGGGGGAAGAATTTGTTTCTTGAAATTTCCAAAGAGGTATTGATATAATCATTACACTGGGAAAAAAGTAATCAGAACATTATTGGCTTTCCTTATTTGATAACTTAGCATGTTGTTTCGATTTTGGGTGTCACATAGCTGGAGGCTCATGATTTTTTTAGTGCACACCAGCACACATCTCCAAGGGCATGGACAAGACCCAGTTTGAAAAGCAGGGGCTGTTATCTGGGGACCCAGAAGTGAACACGACCCTGGAACTCAGAGATAAGCAGTGTTGGGGGAAGCAACAGCAAAGGAAGCCCCCAGGATGGCTCTCAGGGGAGTGGGCTGGTCTGGGAAGACTCCCACTCTCACACCTGTGTTGTATTCCAGGCACCTGGCCAAGAGAATCCAGGTGGGTTGCCCCGGGTACTGCATGATCACCCAGATGCCTATCTTGAGGGAGAAGGGTGAGTGAAGCCTCTGGCTGGCGCAGAGTGAAGGAGAGGTGGGAAAACCTGGGACCTTCCAGCGTGCAGAGGCCGGACTGAGTGGAGATGGAGAAGTTTTGCCCTCCAGCCCCTGACCCCAAGGCAATTAGGGGAGGATCATTTTGCAGGGAACCCCTTCCAGCAACTAAGCCGAACCCTGGGCCTCTACCCATGACTGCAATTTGAGTATTTTTGGGCATCCCTCTGTATCTGGGGAAGGTTCTGGGGGGAGGGTGTGCAGCCTTCCTTCCCTCCGCACCCAGATGAGACTGAGCCTGGCCCCGCATTTGAGAAGAAGCCCCTGGTGTGGGAGGAGGATATGGAACTCTACTCGAGGTTCGTGGACCGGAAGGTGAGGAGAGACTGCAGCCAGCCTGGGGTCCCCATTTCCCCCCCCGCCCCCCCCCCCGAGCATAAATTCCACCAGCACTGATCCCTCTTTGTGCCTGCTTGAAATGCACGCCCCGATAGCTGGGAGGCCCTCCTTAGAGTGAAGGGGTAGGGGGCTGCTCCTGGGGCGCGGGGTCCCGGGTCCCCGGGTCCCGCTCAGGCTCGGTCCCCACCAGGAGGAGCTCCGTCTCAGCCACACCAGCTATCTGCGGCAGCACCCCGAGGCCCAGGCGCTCATCTCGGACTTCCTGCTCTTCCTGTTGCTGCGCCAGCCGCCAGACGTGGTCACCTTCGCCGCCGAGTACTTCGGCCCCTTCGCGAAGCGCCAGCCCCCCATCCCCGCCTTGCGCTCCTCCCACCGCCCCAGCCCCTTCCGCTCGCTGGACCCCAAGCTCCCGCCGCACTAGGGTCGGCCCCGCGCGGCGTGCGGGGACCGGGCAGGAAGCCGGGTCGTCGCCGGGGACGCAGCGGGGAACCAGAGGGACTCACCCCCGAGGCGCGCCTTCCGAGCTGCGGTTCTTTGGGGAATAAATGGGCCCCACCCCCGCGGTTCTGCTGTGGGCTCGGGAACCTTCCCTGGCAGAGTCTCGTGTCTTGGCTAAAAAGAGGAACTGTTAACAGAGTTTACCCAGCGTATTTCACACTTCTTCCAAGATGCTGTAATCAACAGTCCTATTTTACGGATAAGAAAATAGAGGCGCGGAAAGGTTAAGTAACTCACAGAGTTAGTACGTAGCAAGCAGGAGTCAAACCTGGACGTTGATGCCGAAACCCACACTCTTGGTCACTAGGTTAGTAGGGATAGAGGGGCAGGGCTTCTGGGTGCCACTAAGCATAAACCAAATTACCCTGCTTCCACCCCACCCCCACCCCCCAACCAAGAAAAAGAGCAGGGGCTGGTGGGGGATCTGGATCCCCACTGGCCTCGCTCATCACTTCTGATGCCTCCCAAAACACGTGGGCGGCCAGTCCTCACACTCTACCTCCTTTTCCAGTGACACACAGGAACCCCCAAACTGCGTGCAGGGTCCCCAGTTACCGGCTCCCTGAGAAAAAAAGATAGGCAGGGGATCATCGGCTCCTTTAGGCTCCTTGTACAATGTCAATCTGGCCAATGGCTTTGTTTCTGCCCAGGGCTGGCCACGGCTCATCAGCAAATATTAGGCAAGCTTCTCCAGGACAGCTGGTAATGGGGGTGCAGGCTCCATTCCTCCGTTTTCGCACTCATGGGCCCGCCTCTTCCAGCTGAGGAGACCCGCCAGGGTCTCCCCCTCCCGCCCCCGCCCAAGCTCCACCTTGTGATGAGGGCGGCCGTGACTCTGGACTCAGGGCAGCAAGGCTTCGTGGAGAACTATCGCTTGAGTTGAGCCTTAAAGAATTTTTTAAAATATCTTTTATTGTCCCCATAACCTTATTTCAAAAGAAATGCTTCTTCACTAGAGAAAACTGAGAAAAGGGGGCTAAACCAAAAGAAGAAAGTGAATTCACCCCAATTTCTCAAACTATAGGCTGCTGCTCTTAACATTTTGGCAAATATGCTCTTTACTCTTTTTTTGATGCATAAAAGTGGCCCATGTTTGTTCAGCATTTACTCTGTCAAGACGTTTTTTGTTTACTGTCTTAACATTGCCTTTTTTTTAATTTTTGAAGAATAGTTGCAATACAATATTATATTAGCTTCCTGTTAAGCACTTTTTAAAAAATTCCTTTTTTAAGAAATCTCTACACCCAATGTGGTGTTCAAACTCATGACCCCAAGATCAAGAGTCACATGCTCTTCTGACCAAGCCAGCCAGGTGCCCCCATGTCAAGCACTTTTATATAGAATGTTTGATCTGTCTTTAAAACTCCAAGGGACTTCTTTTAAACAAAAATGAAATCATATAGTAATACATGCTCATTAACTGATAATTATATACTTAATTATATTTTTTAAAATTTCAAACATTACAGATAAAGCTGGAAACTTCTAGCCCCAATCTCCTCATGTTTTGTAACTTTTTTCCTGTATTATAACTGGCTTTCTTTCGTTTAACAATATATTTTGAAAGAGTTCCATGGCATTATACAGTCCTCTATTTTTGATGGCTCTACCATAATTTTTTTAAAGATTTATTTATTTTAGAGAGAGATAGAGAACACGGGGGCAGGGGGCAGAGGGAGAAGGAGAATCCTCAAGCTGACTCCCCGCGGAGCACAGAGCCAGTCTTGAGGCTCCATCCCTGGGCCCTGAGATCATGAGCCAAAATCAACAGTTGGCCAATTAACGGACTGAGACACCCAGGCGCCCCAGATGGCTCTACCATAATTTAACCAATCTCTCCCCACTGCTAGCTTTTTGTCTGTTTTTTTTTGGGGGGGGGTGGCTACTATAAACAGTGCTGCATTGAACATCTCTGTAGCTAAATCTTCCCATGTATCAACAACATTCTCAGAGGTGTAATTGCTGAATTGATCTTAAGGCTTTTGTTTGTTTGTTTGTTTTAGCATTCCCAAATTCTACCCGTGTAGGATTTTTATTAAGGATCAGATAAAACATTCCAGGCAGAGAAAATGACATGAGTGAAGAGTAAAGGTAGGAAAGTGCAATGTGTGTTTCTGGTCTAGAGCAACTGGATGCCACAGGTCTTCCCGCAGTGATGGAAATGGTCTGTATCTGCTATGTCCAATATGGTAGCCACTAGTCATATGTGGCCACTGAGTGCTAGAAATGTGGTTCATATGGCTGAGGAACTGGAGTTTTACCTTAATTTTAATTTTAATCTGGCCACATGTGGCAGTGGCTGCCAAATCGGACAGCAACAGCTCTCTCAGAGGGTAAGGTCTCTCCATTCAGCCTGGCACTCAGCTCAACAAATATGGGGTCCCTTCCATGTGCCAGGATCCTTCTGGGCAGTGGGAGATCAGCAGTGACAGGACGAAGTTCCTGTCCTCATGATGCTTACTGGCTGCACGGGGAGATAGTAAACACAAGAAATCATTTCATATTGGGCAATTTCAGACTTTTATGGGGGAAAAAAAAGTCAAGTCAGGGGTAGACAGTGACTCAGGGTTGAAGGGTTGAGGGTGGAGATTTCAAGGAGGGCCTTCCTGGCATCTCAGTTGAACTGGGACCTGAATGAATGCCAAGGAGTCAGACCTGTGGAGAGCTGTGGGAAAAGCATTCTAGGCAGAGGGAACAGCAAGCGCAAGGGCTCTTGAGCATGTTGCACTCAGAAGGCCAGGAAGGCTGGAGTACTAGTGTGCTCAGTCATCGTGAGGTAGGCAGGGCTGGGTCGCAGAGGGCCCCCCAGGCCCTGGCAAGTTCACTTCATGTGTGGAGAACTGAAACCACAGCTGCTCAGCCCAGCACAACCAGAACACTCCACAGAGATCTGGAGAGTCATGTCCAGGCCCCGATGCTCTGGAAGGGCAGTGACATCTGACCCACTGAGATCCTTCCTCTGCTGAGCTCCCTTGGAGCCGGCGACTTGCTGTGGGAGCATCAGGGCCCGGCCCTACCCGCATGGCACACAGTCAGCCTAGAAGACAAGAGGCATTAGTCAAGGACCCCATGAATGAATGTGTGAGTGCAAAACATGGAAAGAGCTAAGAAGGAAATGTATACATGCAACAGTAGAGTGTTAAATGTGCACTTGACCTGGCGTGGGAGCCCAGGGAGGCAGAGGGAAATGAACAACAATAACAATAAGAGCAAATGCTAGATAGCCCTTATTATTTTAATCCCTCTAAATATGGTAATTCATGTGATTCTCACAACACCCCTGCTAGGTCAGTTCCATTATTGTACCCATTTCACAAATGAGGGAAAGGTTAAGGCCAAGACCATGCAACTGGCTAGCGGCAGAGCCAGGATTTGGACTCAGGGCATCTGGCTCGAATACATGTGTAAATTCACTCTGATAAACAGATCAGGTATGGCTCTCTGGAGACAGATCCCAGAACAGAGATGAGGCATCTTCCTGCTTTAGATACTTCCAAAGTAGGCTTGACTGTACACTGTCTTTCTCCTTCCCCAAGCACCCAGAAACTGCCCATTCCCTACTGCACTATCCCTGGTGGCAGCCTCCCAGCTGAGTTGCATGGGAAGGGCATTGTGCTGAGGGAGCACACAGCCTGGGCCTGGAAAAGTCAAAGAAGGCTTCCCAGAAGAGGTCACACCAGAGCTGCATCCTGAAGGACAAAAGGCCGTTTGCCAGGCAAAGGGTGTGGGGGATGTTTGAGGAGGAAGCAGCATATGCAGAGTCCTGGAGGTGAGAGGGAGGGAGCTTGGAATGTTTTAACTCTTGCAAGGAGTTCAGGATGGGATGGTGGAGGGTCTGGGAACCCAATGGAAGCGCTGCCTGCCGTCCAGGAGACTGAAAGACCCTGGAGTGGGTCAGGCAAATGCCCACATGCCTGCCTGTGTGTTTTCTTTCCTCCCACAAGAAGCCGTATGTGAGCAGATAAACTAAGAGCGAAGCTACAGACAGATGGAGCCCCACAAGAAAAGTCTTACATTTAGACATTGGACAACAGACTCTAACCCCAGGGCTCATAACGTCCTTGGAAGGTGCAGACGTGGCCTTCTGACTCTATTGCGCACCTCGCCGCCCTTGGTTGAATCGGCTGTTCCCCCAACACCAGCATCTGTGATAAAACCTGTTCTTGTTCAGTTTGATGGTTTCCTCATTTTGTTTTATGAGATATTGCGTACAACTATCCCATTATCCCATCCTCACAAATTTCCCCTGTTTGAGCTGCGCTGAATCCAAAGGCTTGAGTGGGCAAATGTGGGCACCCAACCACCAGCGGCTGCAATGTTAGTAGCAGAAAATGCATCTGGGGTGCCAAAGGATTGACGGTGGCCGGCGACATTTTGGAAACCGATTTATAAAAGCAACCAGCTGCAGAGTGCTAGGTGCATTTCTTGGGCTTCACAAACACACTTTGGGGTAAGTACTCTTATCATCCCCACTTTCCAGGTGAGGAAACTGAGGGCCTAGGAAACTTGCCTGTGTCACAGAACTAGTAAAAGTCAGATTCAAGCCCAGGCCATTTGATTCCAGAAGCTCTGGTGGGTGGTTGTTGGTGGTGTTTTTCAATCAATGTTATGGAAGTATGATATCCATTCAATAAAACCCATCTTTTTCCTCTATTTTAAATATTGAGCTAATTGCAGATTCACACGTAGCTGTAGGAAAAAATTGAGAGAGATCTCATGTACACTCTGCCCACTCCCCCCTAGTGCTAGCATCTTGCAGACCTATTATACAATATTATAGCCAGGATTTTTTTCCCCACCTTTTTGGGGGGTGGCAAAATATACATAAAATTTACCCTTTTAACCATCTTTGGGTGTATAATTCAGTGACACTAAGGATATTCACACTGTTGTGCAACCATCACCATCATCTATTTCCGGAAC